TTTGCTGCCAGCTCCAACGACAGGTGGATCCCATGCACTTCAGGAGCTGCTCTCTCGGTGGTCTGGCCAGCCGGTGCACACCGCCTTTCGAGGGCAGCAACGACTGGTGGTTCTCACAGTGGCGCGATTTGTTGAAGGCCGCAAGCTCAGCTATGCTGTCACTGGTCTGCACCACCCCTTTCAGCTCTCGCAGTGGGCCCCGACGGGCTCCGTACAACTAGAGAGAGGATGGGTTCAGTCCTGTATCTTCCACATAGGTGACACCCCGCACAGTGGACATTATCGCTCCCTCTGGAGGAGCAACCCCGATCAACCTTGGCTCAGCACGGACGATGGTCGCCCGTCGGTTCAGGCCTCAGATTCAGATCTCAGGCAGGCACGCCACGGCTGCTATGTGCTGTTCGTGCGACTTGGTTCAATACCGCACACAGCGGAGGCTGGCCCTATGCCAGTCCAAGTTTCAGATGATTAAGCTGAGTGAGGCCAGGGGCCCCTACTTCCCCTTGCAGGAAGGGGGCGACCTACTGGCTCTGTGGGACCGACCTGCCTACACGGCAGGGAGCAGGAACGCTGTTGTTCAGTTTTGCTGCTCAAGTCGCACAGCTGACGTAGCTCCACTACTCAGCGTTTGTGTGCAATAGCGGCCTATACCTGTCATGCTAGTCGGGCAACGCTCGCTGCTTTCCCAGAAAGGCAACGCCTGTCAGCAACACAGCTGAGCAATGGCTGAAATCGGCTTTACAAACCCCCATTCTCGGCTCGAGAAGGGGGGTTTGTCCGAGGCCTAAAAATCAAGGTTTTGCAACCCCCCATTCTCGGCTCGAGAATGGGGGGTTGTCCGAGGCCCCCTAGCCATTGCCGGCAAGCCTGGCCTCTGGAGGGGAGTGCGCCTCTTACGAATAAGGTTAGCCTTATTAGGCACAGTGTGCTTACCGCCAGGGTGTGCCACATCGTTCACCCATGCAATCTGCTTGCCCACAAAAGCGGAGCTGCCTCAGATAACAGCACTAGCAGCCGTTCCACATGCTCATCACCTTTGCGACCTTACGGCCCATCGCCTTTGATTGAGAGTGACCATGAGTGGGACGCCACGCAACAGGCACTCTGAGTGACGGTCCCGAGGGGGTACGGCTCATCAATCATCGGTCCGTGGACATGGGACGCCATAGTCCACACTGAGGGTGACGGAGGGTTTCTCACCCACGCCTGAGACGCATGAACCGGCTTTTGAGGTAGCTTGTAGGGTAGCTCTCTTCACGGTAGCCTGTTTCAGCGCTTTCAGGCCCAGGCCCTTAGCATTTCTGCTCTCAGACCTTTGTTCAGGTGCAAAGGCAGTCTCACACGCCCGCAATGAGCAGAGCCCGCTCGCTCAGCGTCCAATAAATTGTCATTCATGTGCAAGGCATTGCGTCCAACAGCTACGCCTGTCAAACCTCAACAGTATTGAGCGAAACGTATTTTCGGAGGTCGTGTACAAAGAGCTTTGCCCTGAGCATCGATCTTGGGCTACAGGGTCTGTTTTGTGGTATAAACGAATATTGTCCATCATCGACAGCTTGTCGGTGCAGTGAAGCGTGTGGCATAACCGTATGTGGCATCATAGTCCCCCGTGGGTCATAACCGTATGTGAATCTGGCAGCATGCCATAGCCGTGTTTGGCATCATAGTCGCATCCTGTGTCCATAATGCTAAGTGTAGGCAAACGAAGAATACCAGCTGGAGAAACAGTAGCGGCTGGAGCAACACAAACCGTCACCGTTGGTGATACTACCGGTCGCCATGTCCAAAGCGTCGGGAGGAGCTGCGGTCGCGAACATCGCGGCGAAAATCACAAACCTCATGGCGGGCATCACGAACATCACGGCGTCGCGGACCATGGTCATTGCGTCGAAAGTCATCGCGAGCATCACGATCGTTGCACCGGGAGTCACCGCGAGCATCACGGTCGTCGTGGCGGTTACGCCATCCTGGCAAACGATTCGGTGAGTCCTCATCTGCATAATCTACCCAATCGCGACGATCACCGGTCTCCCAATTTGTAGTCCTCCCGAAACTTCCCGGAATCCAGGTTCATATCGCCAGGCGAGCCGCGAGGAGCCTTTTGGTCTGCTAACCGGGCCTTCCCTTTCCTGACCTTTGCCTTTTCCTCCCGATTTTACTGTGAATCGGAAGTATCGACCATAGTCTAATGGATCAATGCCGCGTGCGACCTGTCCTAGCCCACCATGGCCCTTGTGTATGAAACCCGGGTCCGAACACAACTTGTCAGCCAAAGCCGCATCCAGAGCATGGTATGGTATTCTATGGCATACGGAAACATGTGGAAGGCCTCCTCGGGACCGATGTTTGAGAAATCAAACGACGAACCGTGGTGAAACCTCGCCAATGTGGTCGTATGTATGCTAGCGCGGATAACAGCCTGCAATAAAATGAGTGTGCTCATCATGCGATCGTTGAAGCGTGCCCCAAAGTCCGCTTGTATGGTTGACAACAACTCCGGCTGGACGAGCAATATGCATCTGAATTAGCCTCGGGACGGGAGATACACCATCTGAGCCACGACCACATCCTCATGAAAATCCTCGGGAGATTTGATTTGGAGCGGTGACAAATCTGTTCGGAATGCGTTCGAGCCGTATGGTGCTGGCGCCAATGCTGAAAGCACATCCAACAATGCGATGTACGGCCGCCTTTCCAAGCGTGTGGAAAAAGGAACGTCCCGCTCCATCCTAAGTTTTCTGTCATTGCCACGATCCTGGCAAGCCCGCCAATAACGATTGTTTTTCTGGGAAGCAATCAGAAACTCCCCACTGCCTTGCTGCTGTAAGAACACGACTCTCAATAAGGCTTCATTGGAGGAAAGGATATGACTCGAGCACGATTGCACGACCTCGTGGAAATCCATACCCGCAGCCTGGCACAGATCTGTCATGCTGGGTTGAATGGACTTAGAGTTTGCAAAGGGTGGCACGCTGTGTAGAATGACGGTGCGATGAGAAACTTCCCCTTCCAGGTTGCCAAACTGCATCTGGTGAAAGTTGAGTGCCCGGGCCACACACTAGGCCCTTGTTTGACATGGCGATCAAAGCGAAGCTGGGTTGCACATGACGCCCATGGCCGACTCCAAACTTGGCCCAGTGACCTCAACTTGCTTCAGCTCCTCACCCAGCGACGATGGATTCTTTGGCGTAGGGATGTCGATGTTGGGTTCCACAAACTCCCCACTCGGTGATTGTCACGCACCTTGAGCTTGACGATTAAGGTTTTGCAATGCCTTTTTGACTTCAGGCTTTTGCGAAAGTTCCCTTCGATATGCTGGATCCATGTCGCCCCATGCCTAGGCACGAATTTGTCCACTTCCTCCTCCTTGATCCCGGCTGGGGCCAGCTCTGTCAAACCGCCAATCTCCGAAAGGTTCGAAGTAGCAGCACGCTTTTTGGCATCAAGCATAGCATCCACAATCACAGGGCTTGCAGTCTCTCGTTTTTCAGAACCGTCTGGGAGTTTATGTACCAAGGAGATGGAGCCGTCAGATTTGTATTCGACCGAATCTGTGGGGGATATCGTCTGCATTGTCTCTACGGTCTGGTCCGTGGCTTCAATCGGACCCTGTCGTTTCCTTGTCTACGGTGTTTGGGCCTAGTTGTAGTTGTAGTAGTGGGAAGAAGAAGAGGAAGAGGAGTAATAGTAGCAGTAGTAGTAGCAATAGCAATAGTAGTAAGCAGGGAGGTAGCAGGTAGAAGTAAAAGTAGAGGTGCAGGTGGAGGTGGAGATGGAAGTAGGAGTAGGAAGTAGAAGTCGTGGTGGTCGAAACCCTAAGACCATGTTCATCACCCGGTTCTGGTCCTCCGGCGACAGCTGCCGATCCAGCGCCGGCACGAGGGAGGCCGCAGGCTGCAAGTTGAAGGGACTCGTGTTTCGTGTTTCAAGGCTTCGTGGTCCAAGAGATCAAGATTCGGGACCTGGAGTCGACGGTACAGGGTACAGGGCTTGGATAACAGACACTGCTGATCAGGACAGCCACACGTCCAAAGCTGGAGAAGTTCAACACCATTCGGGGTTGCGGCAAGATTCCTCGAACCCAAGCTTCCACAAGATGGGGGTGTGGATCTCTGCCTTCTGCTTCGCGGACCAATCCAAAGCGAAGCGGGCTGGATGAAAGGGTGTGCCTCGGGCTGCTGGGCTCCAAGCAAAGCTAGGGACTCACACCGTGTTTGCAACCCGGCGTCGGCCAGCATTGGAGTCGGCGCTGCCCCTTCGCGGACTGTCCTGCGAGGGGTGTCTTGGCTCGATGAGGAGCGTCCCAGAAGCTAAAAGCACCTCTGAAGCCAAAACCGCGGTTGAAGGCACAATTCCAAACGTTCTCTCCTGCTGGGTGGCGTCTGCCATGAGCGCTGCCTCGAAGCCGAGGTGTGGGATGCCAGAGTACGAATTTCGAGGCTATACCCGATTTGGTGGCACAAGCACTGTCGGTCCCGTGGACGTCGGGAAAAGTTAAAGATGCTTTTTTACGCAACGGTTGCACACCAACTTCCGACTGCCCTTGCAGAACACGCCTCGGACTCGAAGCTCCGCCTCCAGCCACCTGCCTTGACAGTGCCACAGGACTTGGGGAAATGTAAAGGTCGAATTGGCCGTGGGTACCACGGTCTGGGAGAACCTTCTGACCTGCCTCGCAAGCTTTACCTGTGAGAACATGCTAGTCCCCGAATGCAAGAGCAAGACCTCACCAACTGAGCAAGCCGAACCTCCCCTTGAGCTCATGAGAGAACCCCTGGAAGTCATGATTCCATGCGCAGAGAATCGTGTGTCACGTGGTGTCCGACGTGGTCTGGGCCGTCCACTGAGGCCGAGCCCAGAGGGTTGGAGTTCATCCCGGACAGCACGCTGGAGCTGCTCCTGTGCAGAGGCTTGGGACCTTGGGACCTTGAAACCTTGGGACTGACCGCTGCGCCGCTTGGGAGCCAAGTGGCTCGGACCAGCTTTGCTGGCGCGCCAGGCTAAGGTCCTCCAAGGGCAGCCGAGAACCCGAAACTCGCGATATCTAGTGCAAAGGCCTGAGACCGGATTCCAGAACGGATGCAGGGGAGCAGAAATCTGAAAGACACCGTCCTGTGGCATCTTCAGATCCTCTGCCGGAGAAGGCAGCGGCCTTGACGGAACTCGAGAGTAACCGTCAACATGATGTGATTGGCGGAACTGATATCACATAGTTTGGCATGACGGACATGTCATGCTAAACAAAACCTCACCCGGACACAAACTTTGCTCTGGAACTTCATTATTCACGTTTTGACCAGCAAGAAGAACTGCAAACTTTTCAACAGCCCCTCAAAAGCCGGAGTTGCCAACCCGACAACGCCAAGCTCCGCAAGGAAACCGGCAGCAACCCGTCTGCCAAAAAGGAGAAAGCGGCTCTGCCTCAGTTCTGTCACCATTTCCCTCACTGGCGAGCCGCCGCCGTCCTCGAGACGACACGGCGCGCGACAGTGAAAATAAACAACCAATGCTTAGGCGTAGGCGCATGCATAGGCATGCATAGGCATGCGTAGGCATCAACAGAAGGGGCGATTTTTGCTAGGAAGTGTGCGGCGGCTACGACAGTCTGCTCGTCGCCAGGCTACCCTCTTCCGGACTTATGCGGCAAATTCCTACCAGCGATGCGGCGAAGCGACGAAGGCAGAAGATGGCAGAAAGCGCCCAAGGGCGCATGACCACGACAACACAAGCAGCAATCACGAAGATACAGAGAGGCACCTATCGATTTGACCAAAGCACAATCATGCGCCGCACATGCTCTGTCGAATTCGGCTGCCGTGGCAGTGTGCCTTTAACTTCATCTCGGCATAACACTAATGGTGGCTCCGTTGAGGGCCTACTACAGAGCCGTGGCGGTGGGATCAGAAACTATCAGGCGAGGGGGGAAAGAGCGAAGTACGCAGGAAATGTGAGGTGCTCGATCCACAAGGCGCTGCAGTTAGATGCTTTGCTGGCTGTTAGCGCAAATCCAAACGCGCGAGCGCTGCAAGAGGACGACCACTACGATGACGGCGGTCATGCTGAAGTTTATCTTCGCGTTCATGCTGTGATACTCGAGGCCCAGCGGGTCCTTGATGGCGTTCATGTCCACGATGAGCCTCGGCATACGTCCAGGAACCCATAATGTAGATGTGGAAATACCGATGCTCCCTCGGCGAAAAACGCTGCCCTGGTAATGCCGTCCCGTGTATCAGCAGGACGTCCCCGTGCAATATCAGCAAATCAGATCCCTGACGGATGAATACCGTTCCCAGCAGCGACAACCATCCTAAGTCGCGCCTGACGAGACACACCCTGAAGCTCCGAACTCCTTTCCCAGAAGGTATTGAAACCCTGAGGATACTCTTGCTGAACTTAATCTTAAAGTGCGCTTCTGAACAATCCAAGTCGGCAGTTGGTAGGCACCCTGTTTTAAGTTCAGGTGCTGCTGCGAGAAGTTCATCGTGCTGCCACGGCGAAGTGCGTCCTGAGAAAACTTTACCCCGTCGACACAGCTCGTTTCCGCTGGTAAGCTGTGCCTTTGAGCTTTGCTCAACTTGGTCCTATCGCGTTCGCCCGATCCTGTCCGACTGCGGTGCCGTCTGAAAACTCGATGCTGAACCCTACTGCAGCCGTAATCTCGGTGGCAAACCCCAAAGTCAAAAATGCTTCCCTCAAGCTCATTGTTTCGGTCGCCGGATCTTTTCAAAACTTGAGCTACCTTCTGCATAGTTCGCTCGACAGGAGAGTCTCTGATGTGGTATGATGATGGCTCAAGATCAAGATGCTCGTCATCATCATCACCATCTAGATCCTCATCAGGATCCTGTGGATCGCATGATCTAGATGACTATCATGCGCATGAACAATCCCACACCCGTTACAATCAATATTAAGACTTACGAAGACTGATACTGAGAATGTTGCCATGGTTCTTGCTGTATTACTGGTAGGAGTATGCGTGTCACGGCCCAAACTGCTTCTATTGTCACAGGTGGCTACAATGCCTACCCTCGAAACTTTGTAACCTTCGTGTTGGTAGATCGTCGCCGTGAGTGTTCGCGGTGGCCGTTGCAGCAGCATCGCTCATTATGGCGGTTTTCATGGTCACCTCCATTTATACTATCTACTATCGTCGACGTCGACTTCCGGGGCCACACTAGCAGCAGCAGCTTTGCTGCCGCAGTTCTGGCTATACAGTAGGGTCCAAGTCTCTGTTTCTCCGATCGGCTCGAACTCTGACATCTGCTGCATCACTGACAGCAATGCCTGTACCTGGCCGTAGAAAGATTTCCTGATCAAAATGATACTGACACCGTGAGAGACTCTCCACGGTCACGATCAACTTAAATCCGGACATCTTCTTCTGAATAATCTTCACCCAAACCTCCACCAACACCACCATCGCCACCCTGCCCATCATGGGCCACAGCATGATCATCATCAGCATCATCACGACCATCATCACCTCCGTCATAACCATCAGAAGTCTGGCCAGCTTCAGCTTTCATTCTTCCTCATTGGAACCGCCATCATCACCATCGTCATCGCCGCCGTCCTCGCCGCCGTCGTTGAAATCATCGCCCACATTGTCACGATCATCGTATGTTTCTTCATTGCAACCTTCACCATCGTCATCACAAAGCAGCAGCAGCAGCAGCAGCAGCAGCAGCAGCAGCACCACCACCACCACCACCACCACCACCACCACCAACACAATCATACTCATCCTGGTCATCATTGGTTCTCATGCGTCCTCATCCACCATGACTGATAATCATCCATCCTCGTCATGATCTCCATCATCGCCATCCTCGTTATGATCCATCGTCGAATCTACTAGAGTCCTTTTCAAACACCCCTAATCCCATTCCTGCGGTGACTTAAAACTCTTGCATTACATACCCTTGGCTGAAACTCAACCAAAAGTTACGACCCAAAGCTCTCAGCCTACGCCTGAAAAATGCCACTCGCCAACTTGGCTCTGATCTGAACCCTCAAATAGTCAAGATTTCGATCGACACATCTTGCCAATCCAGGACCTGCCTGGCGAAACTGGCCCAGGAGCTTCAGCCCATATTCCGACAGGTCCTGCGCCTTCGATTGCTTCAAGGTGTTCCAACATGCGTCTCTGCCGGGAAGTCTGCAATCTGCCTCCGTCTCCATACCAGAAACGCCCTCCTCGTGCATCAAGGTCCACAGCTTTCCTCGCATCTAGGCACTCGAAGCAATTAACAGACTGATGCTGGAGACTATAAAGCTATTCAGCAGTCCCAGTCAACTTTGAGCGCCGTCCCTCACTGAAGATCAACACTCAGTTCGGCAGCATTAGAATCAGTAGCGGAAGCCAGGAAGCTTTCCATGTCTTCGAGCTTCTGCTTGGGCTCCTCCACTTCCAACTTCTCGAACTGAGCGGAAGGATTGCAGAGGGATGGCTCAAGACAAGGCAGAACGGTTGGATCCCTGCATGCGAGGAGCACAACAGGACTACCGAGCCGTCTATCGGCGGTGTGGGCCCGAACCACGAACGGCCCAGATCCTGAAACCGAAACCCGAGCACGGATTAGAAGCCACAGCCACGGCTACTCATTCGACAATCCTACACCCACAATACCTCTCGACTCCACATTACCTCATACGGATTCACCAGCTGAATTCAAGTCGATACCTGATTAAATCGAAGCAGTAAGCCCCGCACGGGCATTTCAGGTTCTTCCCACTCGTCTTCCTTCTGTTTGCGGAAGAAACGATGAGCCTCAGTCGAGACAACACGCATTTCGCAATCCGAATCCTACAGGCTTAATCACACACCTCCTAAGTCATTTCACCATGTCAGACTAGAGTCAATCTCAACAGCCTTCTGTCCTCGGTGATTATGCCAAGCCCCTTCCCTGGGCTGTTTTGCGGGTACCTGCCCCCTAGTGCTTCAGTGTGTTGAAAACCCGTGGAATCATGTGCGGTATCACCTCGCACCCAATCTGCCCAGGGCACTGAATCCTGGGTCGTCCGTGTGATGACATTGAAATTCTCCTGCACAACCGTGAGTTTCAGGACTCGGGCCTTGGGGCACCCTTGGGACTTCTTGTCGACGGGGTAGGGTTAAGGCTTGGGGCTTAGGCTGCGTACGCTTGCTTCAACATCCCTGGCAGATTCGGGGCCGGAGCCCCGTTCCCCCTTGCACTTCGATGTAAGCTCGCACAAAACGGGCTCCTCGTCCTCATCCTCATCGACCAAGTCCGCCACCTTTTTCCTTTGACGAAGACGTTCGAAGAACGTTGGCAGAAGGTGTTCTGCGGCCGGGACAGCGGGAGGGAGAGCCGGGTCTTCGATACTGTAGCTGGGTTTTGGTGTGCAGGTGTGCAGCAGAAAGCGGTTATGCAATCATGCACATATCCTGCTGCTTGTGGGGGCTTCGAGTTGTTTGGGAAAGTGGGAGTGTCCAACATCTGGTCGACAGCACACCCTTTCGACGCCCATCGGCATCGTCCCAAATCCCTCTCTGGTGCCTTGCATCATATCGCCGTCGCACATGTCTTCCACGGCAGCGGAGAGCTCTGCCTCCGTGACGTGCTGCATCGCAGCCACCAACTGGCCGGCTTCCATCTTGAGCTTCGATACGGACCCGAGCAGAAAGGGACTAGTGACTATTTGTTCGGCTTTTCCTCGGCTCTGGCCTTCGGATTTGGGCCTGCGCCTTTAGGGCAAAGAAAGCTGCAAAGAAGCGCAGTCTTCCGAACCCTGCTTCGAGAGATTCCCAGATGCCACCCTTCTGCATTAAACCAGGTTCAACACTGGCAGACCCACATACTGAATATGACTGGACGCCGTGACGCCTCGAAACTGAAGCCTTCCCCTTCGGAAGCTTGCTACATGACTCTTGTTTCGCTAGACCTTTGCCGCTCATCACACGCCCGACCACAGCTCTGACCACTCTGAACCGCCTTCTTGTACAGCATCTTCTCATCCATGCTGCCCACACCTGGAAATGGCCAATATGCTTCCGGGTTGCCACGACCCCAGCAACTTCTTTTGCCAGGTGGACTCTGCTGCAACGAGACAAAGTACTCCACAGGTTTTGCCTTCACGATGATGGCGGCCGCTCCAGGAGTGATGGAAGACCTCCCTGCGTGCGGCGGCCGTCTTGATCAGGAAGCGCGCCTTGCCTTGGGACTCACAAAGTCACAAAAGGCTTCGAGGCCCGCAAGGCCCCGTATCTACCGCTTTCTGTGCCTCTACCTGCTTACTTTGGTTTTCGGGCCTTGCGCTCGAGGGGCCCCGCAGACCGGCATATGGGCGGCACGAGTGGCAGCAGATACACGATGCTGTAACACTGAGTGCCACTATGCACGAAGCTCTGCTGCGCCAGTGTCAGGGCTGGTTGCGTGCCGTGGAGACCATGGTGGCCGAATCGCTGATCTGCCTGCGGACCTAAGCACTCGAAGCTGCGAGCTTAGGGGCTCCTGTTCAAGCGATCTGCAGGATTCTACGTGGAACCGTCTTGAGAATAGTGGCATCGTTGATCTTAAACTCGCCGGACTGTGCGAAGAGGAATCCTCGGCTGAAGCTTCGCTTCCTCACAAGATAGCGGGTGGCAACTGTATAGACCAACCCCAGGCTGGGGCCAGCATAATAGAGCATCTCAAAAACTGCAACCTCGAAGACGCATAAACGACTCGAGCTGCGAAGGCCACTGGCAACTCCTAGGAGCAGCTTCGATCCTTGGTTTCGGATGCGCTTTTCAGGCTGGCCGGTGCTAGGGCAGCTAGGGATGGGTGTTGGCCTTACCTGGAAAGCCGCCCAGGTTTCAGCTCTAAACGTCCCGGAACGTCAAACGAAGCCCAAAACTTTCGGAAGCTCCGAGACCAAACGAAAGATAGCCGAGCGTCTCTGCTTCGGTGGGATGCCTCGCGTGTCCAGCATCACAGTCTCGGTCGCGAGATTTGTGCTTGAGTGACATCGCCACCGTCGACCCCGGCTTACAGGGAGAGAGCAGTATGGAACGGTGTTCCCCCTCCCACTGATGCATCCAGCTCGAGTACCCTGACCCCTCCGAGCCCCCCAGCGTCATGCCGGATTCTGGTGACAAGCTGAAGGCTTTGAATTCCGGTTCGCTTTTCTTGAAACTTCCTCGCATGATTTTGCCATCTCAGGTGGACATCATGTCGTGATTACCGCTTCGCTGGCAGGACGGGCGCGGTGAAGCAGGCCGGGCCAGGCACCAGCCAAAATGAGTACAGATGGACGATGCTTGATGACCTTGATGATGATGGTGATGATGATGGTGGTGATGATGATGACGATGCTGGCCTCGGCAGCGGTGGTGGTGAGCATCATGATGGCAATGACGATGGTCGCGACGATGACCATGAGGACGATGCTGGTATCTGCTGATGAGCATGTCGATACCCCGATGCCCAGGCCCAAGCCCTGCAATCCAAGGCCCCCAAACCCTCTTGGCCAACCTTGCTTTTCTGTGCACCCTGGACCTTGGAACAGCTTCTTACTATAAAGCGGAAATTTCTCTGCACCCCTTGGAACAGCTCGGGACCCTGCTTCGCCGTGGCGGTGCACCAACATGCCTCGGAGTCCCCAAATCCCGGGCCAAGAAGCCCCCTTAAAAGCTTCGGGGCCGTTGAACTTCGGGGGAACTTCCCGGGCCAAGAAGCCCCCTTAAAAGCTTCGGGGCCGTTGAACTTCGGGGGAACTTCCCAGCGCAGCTGGCAGCGAAGCGCTGCAAAGGTGCTGTGCGCCCCCGGGAAGTGGCGCAGCATACCCAGGAACACCTGGGTTCGGGTTCGAGTAGCTCAGGCGTACAAGCAATCCCGAATCACTGCATCCTTCACACCAGTCCCCAAACATCTGATCCGGGACCTGATAGGGATCAGACTGCATTGCCTGAAGGTTTGCAAACGCAGAAGCCGCATCCCAGACCTCGGTCACCTGAGCTTCTAAAACCCAGTCACCCAGTCTCCAAATTGAGATGAGCTGCACTTCCACATCTGCTCGGGCTCCCGGTTTGGAACTGTCGCAGATTTTCAGATACACACTGAAGGCCAGAGAACTGTTGCTCAGTCTGTATCGGTGAAGGGATAAAGCTAAGGCTGCCGAGTGACCTGCTTCGAGGCTACCCCGGAGACTGCAGTTACGGTAGCGTTGCCGGGTACTTTCGGTGTCATACCCAACATTCCCAACCCTCATGGAATCTGGCTGATCTGGCATCTGTGATCATTCAACCGCATTCGGTCAGCATCTGTGCTCGCTTGTCGTAGGCTTATCCAGTACAGGCGAAGGGAAGCAACTGGATTCCGCCAACTCCCAACACACACACATCCGCATGAACGTCGCAAGTCTCGACACAGCTTAAGGATCAAGGTTCCAGTATTGACTTCGAGAGGAGGCATTGGACCAGTTGGATACTAGTAGATACTGCTTGTCGGATCTGCGGGGGTCTCGGGCATCCGCCAGGGCAAGGAGACATCGCGAGGGCTGGTGACATGCACTGCGGGAACTGCCTCTGCCTTGCGCATATTTTAAGGATCCTCTTCTCAAGCGAGGAAGCTTCCCGCCCCCGCTCCTTCATGTTGTAAGGGAGCGCATAACCTGGGGTTGACCGTCTCAGCTCCAAACACGGACCACCAGGTGTTCTTACATGTCCGCGGCGATCTACGTCCTATTGACCACGATGACCAAAGAAAGCCTGGAGGCTCAGAGCACATCCTGCAGTAAAGGCACGATTGTCGATCAGCTTTAAACAGCCCTTCAGCACCAAAAGTAGGCCGCCTCAGCCAAAGTCGCAGAAGTGCAGCGATTCAGCGATAAGCTTTGCAGCCAGAGAGCTTGAGCCGCTTCGGGCGAAGCACTACGAGTTTTGCATGCACGAGGCTTCATTAGTGGAGACCAGATCCTTCTACAACCCGGTTCGGTACGGGACCCACCTGAACCTTGCATCCTGAGTTCCGATTCCAGCGAACCCACCCTTGCAAGGACCACCGAGCTGCTCAATGCCACGAGCACGTCGCCGAAAGCGAATCTATCCAGAAGTTCGTCCAGTACGATGAGGAACGGCTGCGCACTTGGCAGGTGGAGCTTGGAGGATCAGTCTTCAGACAAAGGATCGAGATTGAGGCATACAGCACCCACTTCACATATCGAACCTGGCTGCCGCAGTCTCGTACGCAACCAAAGCTAACGGTGCCAAAAATGGTTCAAAAGATCCTCATCACAGAAGCCGCAACCCTGAACATACGATTCATACGATTCTCTATGGTCCCCCTTTGGGCCCCTATTGCTGTCTGAGACGCTTCAGCGCCTCCTCGGACACTGTGCTGGGCTCCACCCTGAAGCACGCTGCACTTGTTGACTGCAGCAATCACACGACAATCGCTGTTGCCGACTGCCTGCGAGGAAGATGCAGCTGCAGACCACTATTCCAATTCCACAGCCTACGATGTAGGGACTACGCTTACCGCTGCAAAAGCACATGCTGTAGCTGAATGCTGCTGCGGCTGCACGGCACATGTTCATGCTGACGGGTTAGCCGGTGTCTGGCACTTGCGTGTTGTTCCAAGCACCCAGGCTTGGAAACAAAGTTTACCAAGCAATACAGGTCGTGCAAATGGCTGATGCGCGGGACGAGCTTCAGTGAGACAGAATGTAAAATGTCGAGACATAATCATTGACAGATTGAGGCAATGCACCCATGTCCATGACAGAGGACGGTACACACACACAAAGAGAGAGACAGTTGAAGGATATATAGTTCCTGCTGAAGAAGACATATATACCTGTGGCACCCAGGGCCCACACCACAGGGTGCCTGACGTGCTTCCCAAACCAAGAATCAGATCAAAAGCAAACTAACATCAGATTGCATTGCACTACCCGGCGGGGTAGTACACCAGCTTCGTTGGCATGCTGCCGCTGATTGCTGCCACAAGACGGGGCAGGGACGCGCGCGCGCGCTCACGCGCCCACACAACCACACACTCACCATCGAGGAGCAATCGAGGAGCATGGGAATCCCTTGTCGAGAGGCCCCAACCCCCAAGAAGAGACGTCAAGGCTTCTAGGCAGAAGCGGCATAATTCTTGCAGAAAGCGACTTACAGTCCCAAATCTCAGCTCAGGAGCCATGTTATCAGGAACAGCAGCAACGAGAGGATTCCCAGGATGCTTGAGATTGCCTTGGTCTTTATTGCCATGACAGAAATCTCAGAAGCCCCAAGGCCTCAAAGTCTAGGACCTTTGTCTGTCAAGACGTCGGCTCCCAAGCTGTTGGAGACATCCAAGCTCAGCACTTCAAAGAACACTTTCGTCATCCCAAGCCGAGCAGCTTCCTTGAACAGGAGCATGGCATCCTGTTCAAAAGCATGGCTGGCCCATGGGGGTCAGTGTCTGGAACCACGGGGCTTTGACAGCGACTGCCACATGAAATCTCATTCAACGAAGAATCGGAGCGGCTTCACCTGAAACGCCCTTCTGGGAAATCACTTCAACACGAATCTCCAAACTCTCGTATCCACCCTAATCTGAGGAGAGCAGCTGCACCCATCCGCGTGTAGGGCGCAAACCCAACCAAGAGCGACCTTGGCTGCAGGAAGGTCTGCCCTGGCTAGGCGGTTTTGCATGCCTGCGAAAGACAATCTCAGACTGCTTCCACTCTGCTTCCATCTGACTGCACATTAGACGACGACATTCTATCTGCAATGCCTCCACCTGAACATCACAACCCACAGGGCGCAAGCCCTTCATCTCGAAGCGGATCACAGTTCGCCAAGAGACGAGTATAAGAGTTCTACGACTGCCAGAACCTGTCCGCACTCAGCTCCGCGATCAATCTGTGCTTGTCAGGTCTCAAGGCCACTCGGCCACAGACACAAGCTTTGGACGGTTCTCACCCTGGTTCTTGCTGCGTGACATTGGCTACACGTACTTTGGGCCCCGTCTCAAAGGTTCGTGCCTGGCATGCAAAGTTCACTGTCAGGTCGCCAGTGCTCAACCAAAAGATGAAGGAGTACACGCCTCAGATGGGCAGCGCTGGGACGTATCAGGCATGGTAGAGCAGGGCTTGCCGCTGTCTGACACTGTCACGATTGGATGTCCAACCGCTAGAATCGCTAGAAACTACTTGACTACTTCTTGCAGGGCAGGACTGATCTTGCGGCTTGCCGATCCCCAGAAGCGAGACTCCCGAACTCTGCGATCAGACACAAAACTCCAAGCCGCAACGTGCGCTGCCTGTGAGGCGAGATGCGAAAATTATCGAGCACGCGCCAGTACCTGCGTAAGACAATGCTTCGAGTGCATTTTGATTCATACGCTCCGATGATTTGGATATGATCTGTCCTCCACGTATCATGGGTCATCTGTCAGGTTTTGAGCCACCCCTCACTCGGGGCACCACATGTGCGGAATCAGCTTTAGGTGAAGCAAGCCCAAACTTTCCTGGCGAGCAAACAGGCGTCGAAGCTTCTTCGCAGAGGCTTGCAAGTTCATGGGGAGGAAGCAGCTGATGGATCTATGTGCGGAGAGCGAACTCTATAGATCACCATCTCCTTACGCGACTTGGCCGGAAATGGCACGAGGCATGCGAACCAAATCCTCGTATCCTGCATCTTGAGCAAAACAGCGGGTCCTGCACATGCAGGTACTTTGCTTCCTCGGTTCTCAAACTGTGGATTTGCACGTTGCAACATGCACCATGCACATGGCAAACAACTGTGCATTCTAGTCGATGTGTGCTCACAGAGCTTACTGTCCCGGGCCCGGACTCCGTTACTAACAAGAAGCCAAAGCCTGCGGCCCTATCAGTATGCTTTTTCGCCGGTGGATTCAGGCGGGAACCCACACAGCAACAGCCAACTCCGGCCAAGATTCCTTCAAAGTGCTCCAGTGAATCAACGTCTCAAGCAACAACATCACCATGCAGATGATGATCACAATGCTTTGAAGGAGGTTCCTGAGCTTTTCAGCCCGGGCCAGCATGGTACAGAAGATGCCCCACAGCTTAGGCCGGTCGCCAATGCTAGGCCGGTCGCCAATGCTTCGAACGTGTTCTGCCGAAGGACGTCCCCACAAACGGGTCGTCGCTGCAGAGGATCGACCTGTCCTTAGCGCTACTCTATTCACAAATTCGCTGGAAGTACCTCCCTGGAGCGGAAAACGTTCTAGACCATCGTTTCGGGCTCAAGAGAATCTCCCACTTCACTTCCATCTGAGCATCTGAGGAACTGAAGGCCTAGCCCCACTGAATGGACTTGGAATCCGCAAGGAAAGAACCAACAAAGTCCCCTTCGAGGCGGAGGCACAATTTCGAGCGTCCTCTGTAGGTTTGCGTCTCTACTGCATCTGGTGACCTGCACCGTGCGGCGACTGCGCTTTGGTCCATGCTGCTTACGGGGCGGTTGCTTGCTGTCTCGAAAACTGTTGGTGCCACCTGAAAAACATAAAGTTAATGTAAACTGACCGGTCCTGTCGCGGTCCTCGGGAGTTGGTTTTGTAACTGACTTGTCTTAGTGGCTCTCCTCGCTGCTTCTTGGTTTCTTCAGTCGCTGCTCGGTTCACATACGTACCATCTACTATAAGCCAATCCTGACATGCATTGTGCACCGATTGTGTCAGATCAACACTTGCATTCAATATAGACTGCTTGTCTCTGATGGTGGCATCATACACTTGCAGTTTCCAGTCTGCTGGGCACTGAACATCTTTCCAGACACCAGCGAGCTTGTACCGTACCCATACCAAGTTTTAGTGTATCATGTATTTCATGGTTGATTTCATGCCCTATGTCTATAGCTTGTGTGATTTGATGTCTCACGTACGTGGCTGCGCTTACTCTTTTCAAGCCGCTGCCACCCATCATTCCTCCCGAGTTACTGCTTCTACTTCGCGTGAGAAGCTGTTGGCAGCTTGCGTGTCAAGTGCTGATGGGTGTCGTCATCTGCATTTGTAAGTTCTATCCAAGTCAACTCCTGCAAAACTGAAGCTCACCGTATGCAAATGGTCGTGGTCGATGATAAACATAGCTAGAACGAATAATCAAGGAGACAAAGGGCACAACAGTTGGCAAAGGCCCCGACTCTTGTTGCTAACTGGGGATTTCGCATGCACGTGTTCAGCAAAGACGCAGGGCTTACGATAATTCATTGTGACTTCAACAAAGTGCGGATGAATACCTACCCGCTTGAAGGCCTGCTACGTCGAAATCTGGCAAAGGCATTTTCCCAAGCCAGCACAGTAATAACTAGATTGCAGTCTCGTTGTTCTGCAACATATTGCATGCGCACTCCAGCTCGAGACTGACTGTGTAAGGCAGTACAAGGGCAGCCATCATTCCGGGATGCTGGGCAAGGCTCTTCCAAGAGACAGACAGAAGATTCCGCCGCCTCCAGCGTCGCTCTCAAAGCTGTGGGCAGGGCCACGTAATTCGACGCAATCAGAGTTCGAACCAGTGTGTGGCGGCTCGCACGTCCCCCTCGGCAGCGAAACTGACATCAACCGAGGCTTATGAACTGAACCATACAAGAAATCAATCATGGCGCAGCAAACTCGAAGAAAAGAATCGGAACGGGATACGCAGAAAGTTTAGTGTTCCAGATCACGGGGTCCTGGACCTGAGGCCTCTGGCAGCTAAGTCCCAGGCGGCACGTGTTGAAAAGTTGCAGGAGGAAGTAACAGGCGCTGGGCAGAAAAGCTGAAGCGACGACCTGAGCCAAAACGATCCTTCGATCTGTCTTTCCCTCATTTTCCGGACCCTGTCCGGCCCTGTCCTCATGCGATCATCCCTCATATGACAAAATCCTGTTTGAAAGATGTAACTTCCACTTGGAAGAAGTTGGCTTCAATCGACTGGGTTCGGAAGTTTCGTTCACTGTTGCTAGCTGGCACGTGGGGCCCTGTACACCACCTCAATTCACCTCCGAAGGACAGTGACGTGGTGGGTGATGCAAGCGGCCTTGCTCGTGAGTCTTTCATAGCCATCGAAGCTTTTGCAGAAGAGAGCTTGCTGTGCGAGACTCCGGCCGAGAGTTGGGCCGAAATTTTCCTTGCCGAGGAGCCAAGAAGACGTAGAGCCCGACGTCTGCCTCTCAGGGATGACATCGAGAACATGAAACTCGACCTTCGCAGGGTAGATCCCAGGAGAAAGACTAAGAGTGTCTAACAGGGTGAAACCCGAGATCTTTAAAATACCCATCATGAAAACGCTTCAGCTTGGGCATTCGTGGGCTGGCCTCTCCTTGGACTGGAAGAGTGCAAAGCATCCAGGGCGCAAGGCAGGGCGCTATCCTCTAGAGAGAGACCAGAGAGCCCGAAATCGGACCGATCAACGTTTAGCCATCAGGGCTGAGGTTGTCGGGTTCCGTGCTGCAGGCTTGCGATAGCCGGATGCAAGGAGGTTGCACCCTTCACAAAAAATCTCGAAGACCCTGCTACATGCCCCATCAGGTTTAATCTGAAACCTCGGAAACAAAGATGGTCTACGCGATAGTTGACCTATTTGAGCACAACCCTGTGATGAGGAGGACACCGGGCGGAGATCAATGCAGCCGGACGTGCTCTGGGGACTCGAGGGAAGCTTTGGATGCTTTGGGGGTCATGGACTGTCTCGGAGTTCTTCCCAAGCACCACGAACATGGAATGCTGAGAACAAATCGATGCTGATCTTGCAGTCCTGAGCAAGCTGCAATATCGAGCGCGTAGCCACCGCTGTAGAGGTCGCTGCAGGGGTTACCCCCTACATCCTCCCTTTCTCTCTTCAGCATGGCGTGGGGAGCGTGCGAGGCGCCCCGGCTCTCTTCGCCTCGCTTCGCTTCTCGGGGAAAAGGTCCACGAATGGACCCGCGCCCAGGCGCCCCCCCTCCCCAATACGATGGTGGAAGAGGCTTGTGGGGTCACTAGTGCTCGGGCTTGTGCCCAGCGGACGGTCTGGGCGGTAGAGTCCGTCTGCCAAAGGAACCAACCTTCCCCGAACACTGGCGCGCATCCCGGCCTCGTCGCCGAGCTCTCTAAAGCTAGATCCTTAGTCCCTTCGGCAGACGCACTTCCCCCACGCAAGCCGAGAAAAAGGCAGCCTTCACAACATGTAACTAAGCCCCCAGCCAACTAGTCAACACGATTAAACTCTCCACTTCGGCTGCTTAGCGAGGGTTCGCCAGCATGTATGGTACAGAGTATTTTCAAGCAGTGGCTGGTCCCCCCTCGCGTGCTCATATGAAAAAGTGGCCGGTCGAATTATGTCTTCTAGTTTGGAAACAGTCGGCGAAAGCGTTGAATTACTGTGGCGGTTGGTAATATGCGTCGCAGGCTGGCGACATGTGCAAATGAATTGGGCTTTCGGTGGCTACTTCGAGCTTCTGCAACAACATGCATTCCCCCGGCAAGGACTATGTAGGCAGGAAAAGGTTAGGGAACCGGGTTCGGCAGCAGGCAACAACCACAACAAAGGTGAAAGAAAGTTGCCTCCCCCAGTCCCCTCCCCCGCACATTGTACTTTTCTAAAGGTCGCGGCACTCACGGCTTTCACGGCTGCTGCGCATGTGCTCTTGCACACGTTGGACTTGCCACTGTAAGCTGGGCTGCAAGCGAACTCGTCGTGGGCTGCGGCTTGGGGTACGTGGTCTCTCTGCACCCAGGTTTCGCCCCCGAGGGCTTCGGCTTGGACTGCGGGGCCTCTCTATCCCCAAGTTTCGCCCCCTTGTGCCCACATTGGCTTCGGCATCTCCCCCGTCGTGGCTGTATGGTAGATCTCCGCCCCCATCTGTATGGTCGCTGCATTCCGGGATCTTGTCAGCATTTGCCGACTCTGGGCTTCCCCAGTCCACTTCATCTTCGTCCTGCCTTTCTCTCACCTCTGCTTCAGTGGTTGTGTCCCCCTGGCTTCTACCATGAGGATGTGGTGGTGGAGTGGTCGTCCCCCTTGCCGTCTGCCGTCTCCGGATCTTCCGTCGAATCTTGCGTGCTTGCTTCAGTAGGCGATCCTGCTTGTCGTTTCCATGGAAGCACTGACAAGGGGACAGGAAGCAGGCCCATGTCTCAGGGTGGCATCCAGCAAACCAATGATGCGGGGGACGCGCGTGCTCCACAAGTTCCTTTTACACAGATGACGAGGTTCACGACCAAAGGGGGACTAGGACTACACTTTCTACCTGGACCGCTTGACAAGTGGGGGAAGAGAGAAATATACGATGAAGACGGGGTATGGATGGACCTCGAGACTGGCAAGCCACTAAGCAGCACTGAGGTGGGGGAATACAACAAATACCGTGAGCGCTTTGGGACGAGGTGCAGGTTAGGCAGAGCGGCAGACAAGCTCGCGAAGATCGTCGACAAATACTTGCCTGACCTTGCCGCAGAGACACGGATCCATGTAATCCGTTTCCCTCAGAAAGCGCATGCACCTTGCGAAATCCCTGCTGTCAAATGCCACCGCCTTGCCGACAAAAACGGCAGTGCTTCTTTCCTCCTCCCCCCGTCCCCGCCTTTGGGGCCATTGTACCACGGTAGTTCTCACTCTTGGTGTCCCGGTTAGTCACGAACTTCCGGTTGTGGCTGTAGAGGTCGCTGCAGGGGTTACCCCCTACACCCTCCCTCTCTCTCTTCAGCAGGGCGTGGGGAGCGTGCGAGGCGCCCCGGCTCTCTCTCTCTCTCTCTCCCCTCTCTCTCTCTCTCTCTCTCTCTCTCTCGGTGGGAGGCAAGGGCTGCGTCCGGGCCCCTACCTCGCGCGAGTTCGCTCACCTGCGGCTTTGGCAGGTATTCACATCCCCTTCCAGAGATTTTCCCCGGAAGGCTCGGCTAGACCGAAAGAAGCAAGGGGACCAAGCAAAGACAGAAATCCCCCCGAAAGCAAAGTTACAGTGCTCTCTCTCTCTCTCTTTCTTTCTTTCTGCTGGGCTTAGGGGTCCCGCGAGACCCTCAGGCCTTAGGCCCGCCCAACCCCCCCACTGTGTTAGTGAGTGGTTGGCATTGGGGTCGTTCCAGAGCGCGGCATAGAACTACCGAATATGCCCCGGGATTACAAGTAGAAAGCCCCCCCGAACGCTAAACGCGAAAACAACCCCCGCCTCGTCTCCGCGCCCCTATGGCAACTATCCTTAGCCCTTAGTAGGTTCGAGGGGGCATGAAAAAAGCCGGTTTAATTATCCCCCCTTGTTCTCACGCAACAAGGAGAGGATGCGAATTACATGTGGAAGGCGGATCAGACATCGTCGCAATGACGGGAGTGCAGTGAATTGTAAAAGGCGGATAGGGGCGGCCAATCGGGCCAGCTTTTGGCAAAAGTGGGACCTATAGTACAGAAAGTCGTGCTAGGATGCATCCCCCGGCCGGGTTAAATGGAAAAGGGAGAAATCCCCCACCTAGTGAGGCAGGGTGCAAGCTCGGAACTCAGGTGCAGAAGAGGGTAGGGGTGTCGCAACAGCAACCAAGCAAAGCAACAGAAAACCTAGGCAAAGCAACACCACAAAACTGGAACCCCCTCCCCAATCCCCCGCTCTGGCCGTCACTCGAAAGATTTTTGCCGCGCTCACTCCGTCTCACTGCAGGACTTTCCGGTGCCCCCTCGACCTAGTCGGCGTCCTCTCCACTGTGTTGGCTGGCTCCACGCTGTCTGGCCATGTGTGCTTGGACTTGCTGAACCTGCGAGCGTAGGTTGGGTACCAAGGCCGCTCGGTTGCTGCTGCTTGCGGCCTCACTTGGCTCCCCCACTTTGTCGGGCCAGTTGCACCGACGTTTTGCCTTGGGTTTTTTTCCGTGGGTTCGCTCGGCCTTCGCTGTCCTGGCTCAGAGTCAGACGGTCTGCCAGCTGGGCCCCATGGCCACATTGACTCGACATGGTCTCGGTGGTAGTCGTTGTTGTTCTCGTCCTGCTCCCCCCGGCCTGCTTGGTGGCGGTCGTCGTCTGTTCGGCCCGGTTGGGCTCCCCCTTCTTCGTCTTCGTCTTGGCTGTCCGGACTCCCCCAGTCCGGTGGGGTTGCTGAGGCACTGTACTCCTTTCTCGCATTTGCAGCAGCCACCCCCTGTGAGCTGCTGGCTGGCTCCCCTCTCTCTGCTGTTGGTGGTGGCGTGTCTTCCTCGTCGGTCGTGTCGTCCGTTGGCTGTTGCGTCTCCCCCTTCTTGGTCTGCTG